ATAAACCAAAACCAGGGGTGGGCATAAAAATCGTTTGGAGGGCTAAAGTGAATTTTTGATGTAACACCGGGGGCCGCACATAAACATTGATGTTTCAAGTAACCTTCCAAAAAACCTCAAAGCACTGCTTTTACACAACTTAATTCTGAGTTTTAATGTTACTTTTTACGTATGATCGGTATCGGGCCGTAAAAAACAAGGTGTTTTCTAGCCAATGTTGCTTGGCGGGCCACATTATTTTTTCCCATACAGTTCCGGTAGAAATTATAAAGGGTGCTATTTTAGGTCGGTTATGAGAACTGATATTCATGAATATGCATACAGACCCCTCTCGCGAAGCAGAGTCAGTAGAGAATATTCATTTGAGTCAGTGGTGTAGTGTAGGGGCTTATCGAGTTTTATGCGTGGATGAAGCTATGGAGTCACTACGCCAACATCTCTTTAATAGTCCTTGGTAGTCAAGACAGTGTAACAATTGTAGTACTAGATTAGCCACATTCTATGTAGGCCTACAGCATGGTCTTCAAAAGTAGGCTTAAAAAATCCGAAGTAAGCCTAATATTGAATCTGGCACCGTATTTTAGTAGGCCTAGGTCTACAGTATGCTTAGATACAGTATGGCGTGTGTGTTGCAAAAATTGTATGCTCCCTACTAATAGTACTGATTCTAAAGGATACGTTTAGAATGTCCGGAACAATATACGAGTACTTCGGACACCGGACACAGTTAATTTACAATTTTACAATTAAAAGTTTTTTATTTTTATTTTTTTAATTAATTTTTTTTTTCATGAGAAGAAATTCCCTACCTAACAGACAGTGAGTGTTTCTGTATTATTTTGTATGATTCATTGGTTGGTAACATTTTAAGGATTTTTTAGAACCGTCTGTAAATCAGTGAAAGCCTTTTTTTACTTCCATCTGATTTGATCGTTTTAAATATAAAGATATTCAATATTTAATTGGATAGACACAGCCTAAACAGTACGTCATATCGTGCGAATAGAATATCGTAAAATTAGTGTTTATAATATATCTGTTTGCTATATAATCTATGCCTTTATTCATATTTAATATGAACGAAATTTTGATAAGAAATCAACTATAAAACAATGCATAGAATTTACCTGTGTGTCTGAGCATTTGTAAACGTTTATATCCTTTAGAACCAGAGGTACCATAGCATTTAATTATTGCTATACTTTACACTACTCAAATAATCGACCAGAAGTTCAACGCAGCCTTTTTATACTGTAGAAGTGGTTGGCGCATCGATTGTGGCTTGGACTCCCGACCATGATGTCAGGGGTTCGAAACTCTCGCTGTGCAAGTTGCTTAGTGTCTTTGGGCAAGACACTTTATCTACGTTTGCCTATCTCTACCCAGGAGTATAAATGGATGTTGTGGCATTAAATGTTCATAGTTTCGTGCGCTAAAAAGTAGCGAACGACTAGGGATACTCCCCAGGGAGCAGAGGAATTTGCACTTTGTGCTGGTTTGCCATTGTACGTTATCCAGTGACCAGGGGTAATAACGCTCGCGCCTTTGATCATTCTTGGAATTGGCGCCTTATAAATGTTTGAGTATTATTATTAAAATACCATGTTGTACGTAAACACTGCCTAGGCATAGGGATATTATAATTTAAATATCTCTATCGACTGTTTACACTTTTCCTCTCGACCGACTACCAAGAAATTTTGGCCTACCCTAACCATGGAGGAATTAGTTTAGTTTCCAAACTAACTCCTTCATGCCTTAACAACGCTGTAACTTTCATAATCCACAAGAGAGTGTTCCTCTGTTATAAAAAAAAGAACCAATAAATCTTATCTTATCTTATCACAAAGCAGCGAACATCACTTCACGACTCGCGAAAAGTGTCAAGCATGCATGCATTATTCAATGTATCCGTTCACTTAAATGACCTTAAATAGTGCCCTCTATAATTTCTGCCGGAACTCTATAGGAAAAATAATGCTGGCGGCATACACACATAGGGTTAAAACAATTAATATCTGCAATATTCTAAATCATGCGAGGCAAGTTATTCCAGAGTTTAGCACCATAATATAAAAAAATTTTGAATAAGCAGTGAAGTCTTATGATTGGGGAGGTGCATAGTATATGAAGAAGATTAATCGTTTTTGTTATATATTTTTTCGTTAACTTTAAACATATCATAAAAGTGCTTTAGGTAATTGTTTTTAATACAATTATGAACAAATATATATTGCCGGTAAGTATTAATATTTGTTAGCGTCGTTAGATGTTATTTCTTAAAAGGAGGACCAGTGGTTAGCTATTAAAGAGAAATTTTACATAATACATATCGTCTTTTGTTTTCGAGCAGAGTTAGCTTTTTGAGGTTGGACTGAAAAGTATTACGAGAGAATACGAGAGAAAATGG